AACCAGGCTTCTGCTCTTTCTCCCCCTGGAGCACCAGAAGTGGTTTCTTTACCCTCCACGGTAGCCACCGGGTGAGCCCACGTGGCAGCCACCCCGTCCAGCGTCCCGGCCGCTGCCCTGCTTCCCGCCTACCTGCCGCCCACAGAGAAGTCGGACACGGCGTAGTAATAGGACTGCAGCACCTTGGGGTCCTTGAAGATGTCATCCCCAAACGTGTTGAGCCGGTCTAGGGAGATGAGGAACTCGGTGCTGGTGACCCAGTCCTGGGGGACAAGGTGGAAGGGAAAGGGTGCCATTAGCAGGTTCCTGAGTGTCTGCCGGCTCCCCGGGGCATCTTCTGGGACACAGGGACAGGCCAGACACAGACAAATTCCGAGAACAATGCAGAAATAAGGAGCCTGTGCTTTTGGGTCACACCAACCTGGATGCCCGGCCCCTTCCTAACTGTGCAACTTTGGGGAATTTGCTCAATGTCTCAGAGCCTCCATTTCCCCATCTGTGAAACAGGACAAGGAATAATGTCGGCTCCAGGAGGGTGCTGGAGGAGGACGGCCAGTGTCAGCGGCGGGGCACGGAGTCTGGCACGTGGTCGAGTTGCCGGAGCAGCCCATCTAAAACCGTGTCACGCAGGTTACCTGACTCCTCAGAGGGACCGCACCCCTGTTCTAGAGGGCAGCTGAGGGAAGATGCATCCCAGCACCCTGGTGTGGGGTGGGCCCTGGGTTTATAGGCTTCTCACGTTCCAAGTATCAGGCTCCCACAGACAAGGCACCTGCCCCAGGTGACATCTGTTCCACCAGAACACAGCCCCAAGAGAACAAGGACTCAGGGCCCCTGGTTCTCGCTGCATTCCCAGCCCGGGCTCTGCCTGGCACACAGCAGGCACTCGATAAATACCTGCTGGTGGCGGAATGAGAGGCTTCCCCCTGGAAGAGCTGGTGGGGAAGTGGGGGAGAGCCCACGTGAAAGCTGACATTTCCATCTGCCTGCTGTTATAATCAGAGGTAGCTCCAGCTGAATGTTAATCAGCATTTTAATTCAGCCCAGCAGCTGCTGGTTTAGCAATCAGGCTCATCGGGACAGAAAATGAACTGGCAAAGTCTGACTTCTCACCCCAGCCTGACTCAGGCCAGCGGGCCTCTCCGATCCCCTTGGGCTCAGCAACTCTCGAGCCCGTGGCCTGGGGCCCAGGGCCTCTGCCTGAGGATGCTTCAGCCAGGGAGAGGTCCAGAACCAGAAAGCTTCAGAAGGGACCTCAGCGCTCAGCTTGAGTTTGTAAACCTCCGGGGAGTCACTCCCTGAATCACTTCCCAAATGTCAGTGTGCATTCAGGGATCAGATTAAAACGCAGCTTCTGATCAGAGGTGGGGCCCGAGACTCTGTATTTCCACACGTGCCCAGGTGGTACTGATGCTGCTGGTCGGTCCCTGAAGGAGCTGAGGAGCAAGGGGCTAAGGCCCGGGGTGGGAACCCAGCAGAGCACAAACTGATGGTCTAAGAGTCTTTTCTTTCTGCAGAAAAAGTGCCCCTAGAGAACCCAAACCAGCTGATGTCCAAGCTGGAAGGTGCAGTAGCTGACGCTTATTGTGTGGTTATGGCTCAGGTCCTCACCATAACCCCACAGGGAGGTGTTATTCTTACCCATGTTTTACAGATGAGAAGACTGAGGATCAGTGAGGGTAAGTACTCTGCTTCCTAGTCGCACGGCTGGTGCACGCAGAGCTGGGATTCGGGTCTATCTGACCCCTAGGGTCCCAGCTTTCGCTACTAGGTAGCCTGCCTTCCTGCATCTACTCCAACGCCCTCATCATACTAATGGAGCCCAGAGGGCAATGACCAGCCCAAGGTCTCGGCCTTGCAGTGACCCCTCTTTGGGTTCCTGCATCTGCTTTGCAGCCTATGACCTGCTCCATCAGTCTTGAAGACAATGGTGATAGGAACAGCATCAAAATCTCCCTGAGACACCAGGAAGGGAGCTGGGAGAGAGAAGGGGAATTTGTTCCCTTAGCCCAAATTGTACGGGTCACTCCCTGATGCCTTAGAGGTAACTCTGGGGGCAAACCGGAGCCCCAATACACAGAGGCAAGGACCTTGTGCAACTTGCAGTGGCTCAGCTGAAACTACAAGTGGGCTCTCGGGTTGACTCTGGACAGACGTGGGAGCCAGAATGCAGCATTAACTGCAGAAGCGGCAGGCAGGAGCTTCGTCTCCAAGCAGCCCAGAGGGGGTCAGCCTTCTCCCCAAGGTCCTTGGCCCCCACGGAGGACAGCAGGACCCAAGACACAGCAGCTGCATGGACACATCCTTCGTTACCCCACACCCCCAATGATCCACGTCCTTAGAGGAAGCACCACCCTGGGGGTGCCCAGAGGGGAGAGAAGGGGGGGGGCTTGGCTTTTTTTGTCCTTCTCTGACCTTCTCTGTCCTTCTGCCTGGGGGCTGCAGGGGTCTCATTTCTGAAAAGGCTGTTTTCCCGTTAGGGACAGCATCCAGGACATAAGCGGCAACAAGTCAAGGGGCCCCTCTGTCCAGATAGCACAGATGCAGGCAGAGCAGGTGCCCCGCCCTTGTGCTTGTCTTCAGATGACCTTGGCCGATGTTTTCTAATCTACAGAGCTTGGAGCCCCATGGAGAAGAAATTGTCATTTTCAACAGAATCATGTGATGATCACAGGTGAACTTTTTGTTTGTTTGTTTGTTTGTTTGCGGTACGCGGGCCTCTCACTGTTGTGGCCTCTCCCGTTGTGGAGCACAGGCTCCGGACGTGCAGGCTCAGTGGCTATGGCTCACGGGCCCAGCCGCTCCGCAGCATGTGGGATCTTCCCGGACCGGGGCGCGAACCCGTGTCCCCTGCATCGGCAGGCGGACACTCAACCACTGCGCCACCAGGGAAGCCCACAAGTGAATGTTTTTAATGGGATAAGCAGGGCCTGGGCGTCTGGAGATGAGACTTTGTGCCAGAAAGGATTAACCTTGCCTGAGAGAGTTCTGACCTTTGCCGCCCACTCCTGGGGGGTCAACTGCAAGCCCTCAGAACGTCCTCCTTGATAAGAGTAACTTTGTTCACCTGGGGCCCTGGGCCACCCCAGATGGTCAATGCTGACAATGTGATTTATGGGGAGGCCTTGGGCCACACAGAATCCACCTGCTCCCTGGAGGGGCTGGAGATCAAGGTCAGCCATAGGCAGTCCGCCATGTGCATGTGGCTGACCCCCAATAAAAACCCTGGACTCCAAGGCACAGGTGAGCTTCCCTGGTTGGCAATGCACTTGTCACATGCAGTTGCTGGGAGAAATCAGCACTGTCCCCACTACTCCACTAGGAGAGGACACCCAGAAGCCCCATGCGTGGTCTCTCCTGGACCTGTCCCATGTATCTGTTCCCTTTGTTGGTTTCAGTCTGTATCCTTTCACTGTAATAAGTCATCACCGTGAGCACAGCGGCTTTTCTGAGTTCTGTGAGTCCTTCCAGTGAATCAATGAAGCTGAGGGTGGTCTTGGGGACCTCAAGCCAGCTGACCCCGTGTTTTCTTGTGCTGGACAGCCTGGGTGTGGCACAACCTCTTTCTGGGCCTCAGTGTTCCCTCCAGAAACAAACGGGATTCTAATCCCAGCCCCCTCATTATCCCAGACAGGCAAAGGAAATGCTCTGAATATGTCGAGGGAAGATAGCAGTTTTTCTCGGCAGAGGTCTGTCGGAACGCAGGGAAGTGGACTAGGGGGCCGTCCAATGTCCCGAAACATCAAACAGACCACCACATCCACAGATGAACCGTCACTAACGCACAGAAATGTGGACATGCGTGGGTGCTTATACTGGTAGGGCCACAAAGCTGAGTAGACCCAGGTGGGCAGGATGGGGGCCCTGTATGGATGCACACAGCCACAAGCCTGCCATGCTCTCTGCACATGAGGATGAGACGGGTGAGCTACCATGAACTCTTATCTTCAAAGCGTGAATGAGCATCTCTTCTAGGACACGCACTGTGCTGGTCACTTTATAGTTGGCTGTCCAACGTGGCGGCTGCTGGCCCCATGTGGCTGTTTAAACTTCATTAAAATGAAATAAAAATGAAAATTCAATTCCTCAGTCGTGCTAGTCACATTTCATGTGTTCTACAGATAGACACGTGGCTCGTGGCTGCCATACCGGAGGGTGCTGCTAGGAATCATCTCTGTCGCTGCAGGAAGTTCTGCTGAATAGCTCTGCCTGACAGCACAGATCCTAGGACTCTATGACTCCAGACTCACGTTCTTTTCGTGTTTTCCCTTTCATCCCCGTCACAGCCCTTGGAGACACACAGGGCAGGCAACGCCAACCATCACAGAGCGGGGAAGCGGGGCTCCCAGCAGGTAGCTCTAGCAGAAGCTCCAGCTAGGAGTCAGGACCCTCAGGGTCTGCGCTGGGCCCTTCCACCAACCCACACGTGCCCTTGGGAAGTCCCTTCCCCACTCCGGGCCTCAGTTTCCACACCTGCCCAAGGAAGGGGTCAGCTGAGTTGGTGGCTGTCACAGGGCACCCTCTTCCATCTATTTCATTATCAGTCATCCACAAAAGATTCAGATACAACAAAAGCTCCTGTTGTTTCAAATCTGAAAACCACGGGAGCTCTCACAGTCCCCTGTGTCATCCTGCCCTTTTAGACTTCCCTGTGGTCCCCTAGACCCGAGTGTCCAGCCCAGCCCCTGCCCCAACCCTGCCCCTGCCCAGCCCCACTCCTCTCTGACCTGCAACACGGGGCTCTCCTCAAAGTTGTAGGCACTGGGCCGGCCCTCCAGGGTGGAGAAAGCCACGTTGCCCCCGCTCAGTGGGGAGATGTCGCTGAACTCGGAGGTGCAGAAGGCCACGCGCTCGTCCTCGCCGGGGCGCAGGTACTGGCCCTCAGGCTTGCCGTAGGTCGTCTGGCAGGAGGCACTGTAGTACTGATAGGGCTCCCAGGGACCGCCGGCCCGGGTGCGCTTGTAGATGGCGAAGCTCTCAGGGCGACTGGTGTGGAACTTCAGCCGCACGTAGGTGATCTCGTAAGCTTTCCCTGCAGTGGGAAGACGTGGACCCATTTTACAGAAGGGAAGGGAGCGTCAGAATCCTGGTCCAGGGAGAGCAGAATGGCTGTGCTGCGTATACTATCTTGGATGGATCGTTAGAGGCTGCCTGGAGCACCGTGCTGGGTGTGCCATGATTAATTAGTGATGCCTGTCAAGGACACAGGAGAGGACAATGCGGGCATGCTTCCCAGGTACTTGCCATCCCTTAACTAGGCCCGTTTGTCTCGCTGCACAGGAATCTGCAGTGTAACACCCCTGACAGGCAGCCATCTCTTTTTGCTCAACTATCTCCAGCAATGGGATGTTGCCACATCCTGAAGAAGCCTGCTCTACCATTAGAAAGTCATTTCTTTTACTGCACTCCAACAAAGCCAAACCTTCCACCTGTGCCTTTTGGTCTCATTCCCTCCCAGTGATTTCAGACCCCTGGAGTCTGGAGATATGCCTGTTTCTAGCCCCCCTGCAATCCTAACACAATGCCCCCTGAACCCCTCTCTTTCTCCTGCTTCCACCTAACTTCTGTTTGATCCAAAGTTCTTAAGAGAAGTCTGTATCTGTTGGCCCCATGGTCTCATCTCCCAATTTAACCCTCAGTCCACTGCAATTCAGCTTCTCTGGGCCACTCAATAGAAGCTGCTCTTGCAAAGCCTCCTCACCAAGAGCCCCTTGTGGTCACAGCCAGAGGACCACGCCTTGCCTTACTTCCTGGGCCATGGATCACCCCTGTTACTTGGAAGCCCCCTCCCCAGGCTTCCGTGCAGCCCACACTCCTGGCTCTGCCTCCTGGGTCTTGCTCCTGGGCTGCTCCTTCCAGCCCACCCTGGGCCCCCTCCTCGGCCCCCTCTGCTCAATCCCCCCTCTCCCAGTGGCCTCTCCATCGGCTTTAGTCCTGCTCCCCTCCCCCACCCTGCTGACGTCAAGATGTGGGATCTTCAGGCCCCACCCTGCCCTCCTCTCTGCCCAGCTGCCACCTTTATGCCGCAGGAGTGCTCACAATGGCTCCAGATCCACCACAGTTAACTCAGATCTGGGAGGCCGGGATGGGCATGCGGCTGGGGAGCAGGGCGGGTGGGGAGGACAGCCGCCTACATCCTCATCTGCCCTGACAGGTGTCAGCAAGCAACGCCTAAGAACAGAAAAACCGATGGACTAATGAATGACCAAGAGAGGGAGCCCTCCCATTCCCCAGAGCGGCACAGAACTTCTCTACACCCCTTTCCCACATCTGCTTTCTTCCCTCTGGCTGTTCTGCCCTGGTCCCAGATTCCCCAGGAGGCCTTTCCCGCTGCTGCCACCTCTGTCACTGTCACAGTCTCCCTTATGCACTGAGGAGAAGTTACTTCAGTCCTCTGTTTAAACACCTTGGCCCAAAGTGAGAGCTAAATCTATAAAACTCTTACAAGAAAATATAGGAGTAAATCTTCATGACCTGGGTTAGGCAAAGCCTTCTTAGATGTGACACCAAAAGCACAACTGACAAAGGAAAAAAAACAGATGAATTGAACTTCACCAAAATCAAAACATTTGTGCTTCTAAAGACACCACTGAGAAAAATGAAAAGCCAACCCACAGAATAGGAGAAAATATTTGCAAAGCATTATATCTGTTAAGGGATTTATCTAGAATATTTAAAGAATTCTTACAACTCAAAAATAAAAAGACAGATAACCCGGGAATTCCCTGGAGGTCCAGTGGTTAAGACTCCGCACTTTCACTGCAGGGGGCACGGGTTCGATCCCTGGTCGGGGAGCTAAGATCTCGCAAGCTGTGCAGCGCAGCCAAAACAAAAAACAAACAAAAAAAACCCCAGATAACCCAATTTAAAAATGGAAAACAGGGCTTCCCTGGTGGCGCAGTGCTTGAGAGTCCGCCTGCCGATGCAGGAGACGCGGGTTCGTGCCCCGTTTCGGGAAGATCCCACATGCCGCGGAGCGGCTGGGCCCGTGAGCCATGGCCGCTGAGCCTGCGCGTCCGGAGCCTGTGCTCCGCAAATGGGAGAGGCCACAACAGTGAGAGGCCCGCATAACGCAAGAAAAAAAAAAAAAAAAAAAAAAAATGGAAAAAAAAAAAAAGGATCTACATAGGCATTTTTCCAAAAAAGATATATCAATGGTCAATGAGCACATGAGAAGATGCCCAACATCATTAGCCAGACCAAAACCACAATGAGATAACACTTCACTCTCTTAAGATGGATATAATAAAAGAGACGGACAAAAATAAGTGTTGGAAAGGAGGTGGAGAAATTGGAAGCCTCGTACACAGCTGGTGAAGATGTAAAACGGTGCAGTTGCTTTGGAAAGCAGTCTGGTGGTTTCTCAAAATGTTAAACATAAGAGTTACCACGTGACTCAGCAATCTCACTCCTAGGCGTGTACCCAAGCGAAATGAAAACATATGTCCTCGCAAAAACTTGTACACCAATGTTCAGAGCAGCAGTACTCATAAAATCCAAAGAATGGAAACAACTCAAATGTTCGTCAACAGATAAATGAATAAATAAAATGTGGTATATCATACAAAGGAATATTATTTGGCAAGAAAAAGGAATAAAGTACTGACACGTGCTACAATGTGGATGAACCTGGAAAATATTGTGATAAATAAAAGAAGCTAATCCCAAAGACTATATAATATATGATTTCACTTATATTAAATGTCCTGAATAGGCAAATCCAGAAAGACAGAAAGCAGATTCGTGGTTTTCAGGGCCTGGGGTGTTGGGTGAATACTTGGCAGGGGGAGGTGACTGCTAACGGGCACAGGTTTCTTTGGAGGTGATAAAAATGTTCAAAAATGGATTGTGGTGATGGGTATACAATTCTATGAATAATACTAAAAAGCACTGAATTGTATGCTTGAATTGGGTGAATTGTACAGTAAATTATATCTCCATAAAGCTGTTACATATATTTTTAAAAATTGGTCCTCACATCCATTAGGATGGCTATTATTTTTTTAAAAAAACAGATAACAGGGACTTCCCTGGTGGTCCAGTGGTTAAGACTCCACGCTCCCAATGCAGGGGACCCGGGTTCAATCCGTGGTCGAGGAACTGGATCCCACGTGCATGCCGCAGCTAAGACGCGGCACAGCCAAAATAAGTAAATTAAATAAATCAATCAATATATTTTTAAAAATCAGATAACAATAACAAGCGTTGGTGAGGATGTGGAAAAGTTGGAACTCTTGTGCACCGTTAGTAGGAGTGTAAAATGGTGCATTTGCTTTGGAAAACAGTTTGGCGGTTCCACAAAAAATTAAAAATAGACTTACCATATGATCCAGCAATTCCACTACTGAGTATAGACCCCAGAGTATTGAAAGCAGGGTCTTGAAGAAATATTTGGACACACATGTTCATAGCAGCATTACACACAATAGCCAAGATATAGAAGCAGCCCATGTGTCCATCAGCAGATGACGAATAAACAAAATGTGGTCCAGGGGCTTCCCTGGTGGTGCAGTGGTTAGGAATCCGCCTGCCAATGCAGGGGACACGGGTTCGAGCCCTGGTCCGGGAAGATCCCACATGCCGTGGAGCAACTAAGCTCATGTGCCACAACTACTGAGCCTGTGCTCTAGAGCCCGCGAAGCACAACTACTGAGCCCTCGTGCCACAACTAAAGAAAGCCCGCGGGCAGCAACGAAGACCCAACGCAGCCAAAAATAATTAATTAATTAAAAAACAAAATGTGGTCCATCCACCCAGTGAAATAGTATTCAGCCTTAAAAGGGAAGGAAATTCTGACACATGCTACAACATGGATGAACCCTGAGGACATGATGTGAAGCAAATTAGGCCAGTCATCAAAAGACAAATACTATATGATTCCACCTATATTGAAGCCCCTAGAGGAGTCGAATATACAGAGACAGAAAGTAGAATGGTGGGTGAGGGGAGAGAGTAACAGTATTTAATGGGGACAGAGTTTCAGTTTAGGAAGATGAAAAAATTCTGTGGGTGGATGGTGGTGCATATACAACATTAATACAACAATGTGAATATACTTAATACCAGTGAACTGTACACTTAAAAATGGTTAAGGTAATAAATTTTATGTTATGTGTATTTTACCACAATAAAAGAAAAAACTGCGGCACAAGTATGCATATTGGCCCCTTGGGAATGCAGTGTAGTGACACAGATGAAGGGCCATAAAAATATTCCTGGCCTTTGGTGAAAAAAAAAAAATCCCACTTCTGGGAATTCAAACAAGGCATGGAACCTAAATCAAGAAGCTCATCAAGGAATTTTTTTATAATAGGGAAAAAAGTGGAACCATAAGGATTCAATAAATTGTAGGGATAAACTCACAGGATGATTGAAACCACGGAAACAGCTGACAATGAGTTTATATTACATGGGAAAGTGAAAATGTTGAATGAAAAAAAAAGACAAACGACCTTACGTTTAGAATCATCAGATGATATTTAAAAATCCCTAAAGAACAAGCAGAAAAGAAAGACATCGAATGCATAAGCATGACTGTCCTCAGGGCAGAGGACTCAGTGACTTTTCTTCCCTTTTCAAATGTTTTACATTTTCCCAATTTTTTCTCATGAAGTTTGTTCTAATTTAAAAACTGGAGAAAACACAAATTAAAAAAAATTTAAAAAGCAACCGCCTTGCCATGTTCTGTTTTAAGATGTTTTTCAAAGTTACATTGCAGCACAGCCTGGCACTGTCACTCCAAGCCCCTTCAAAGAAAGCATGTGTTGCCAACGGAGCCAGTGTCTGGGGCGGCCGCTTCTGTTCTGAGCAGGCGTCAGACCTCGGGACCAGTGAGGACTTGCCCCAGGTGCGCGTTCACGAAAGGATGCTGTGTGGAGGTCGCCGTGGGTCCACAGGCCCAGATTCCTCTGTAAACATCTAGCAGCCAGACACCTCTCAGGAGGGGAACTTGGAGCCACTTAAAAGGTAGCTGGCAGCTAGACGCGTGATTGGAAAAAGGCAGCCACCGGGATTTCATGCAAATGAGCAACA